AGGCATTTTTTGAGCCTTACTATGGAGTACGTAACCGAAGATTGCTCACTTTCGAACCTACTTTTTACTAGAAATAGGCTATCAAATTTTTAGTGGATGGGCGAGTAAATAAGAGGAATAAAAAAATTTATTTTCACATGTCTTTTATTACTTATAACAAGCTCTACATTTCCTTCTATATACTTATAATTGAGCAGTAATTTTTATGATAAATCTCCTAAAAAGTTAATGCTATCCTACCATATAATTAATAATTTTTAAACAAAGTAATTATTTTAAAAATATCAATTTATTTTCTGCTCAGTGAATTAAGTTGAACTGTTTACTTTTAAGATGGAGGCATGGCGAATTCGACAAGCTTAATGCAGAGACCGTAGAAGCAGAAGTTGATGAATATTGGCGTGAAATTTCCAGACTACAAAAGCTGTTTACTGCTCGTATAAAAAAGCAGCGTATGGAGCTTGAGGAAAAGCGTCGAGAAATGAAGAAACGGAGGAAACCAGAGATGGCCATGGATGAAGCTGGTGCTCTTCTGGAAGCCGGGGCTACGGAAGAAGAGGAACTTGAGGATATTAGACCTCCAGCTGCTCTGGATACTATTAGTACCGTTCAAGAGAATATAAGAAAGTTTAGGGTAAGCCATATGGAATTTTATCAGTACTGTGTACTTAAAATAAAAAATTATCTATTTGCTGCTAAGAAGTTGTTAGACTTTGTTTTCGCAATTTAGTCATATTGGCAGGATAACACAGAGGAATTCCCTTTGTGTTCGGAGTCGATAGTATGCATGATAATTTTCAGAGTCAGAGCGTGAGCTTGGTACATTCCCAGACGTTTCGCCGCATCGTAGTCGGCATCATCAGTAAAACTCGCCATTTTTAGCACCACACTACAACTCATCAAAGAGACAAGTGAAGTCGATGATTTTAACCAATTTTCAGCTAAACATTTGTGTTATTTTCCTTCTGTTCTGCAGTATTCACCTATCCTATATCCTCGTATCACTTCTTCAATATCACAATTTATTATTTATTTATCGAAACCTATTTGAAGCCTATTGGCACTCCCCACTGGTTTCCATATCCCTCAAACTATGCCAGGAGTGTTGATCCAAATATCCTTCTCTTATCTGCCTGTTTCTGTGAGTTCACACCGTCGCTGCCACCGTATTCGTGCTACTCACTCTGCCTCAGGCTTTTAATAGCATGTATACACCATCCTCACTCAACAAGCCCCTAAAGTCTGGATTCTCAATTGGTATGGCAACCTAATCGCAGATTCCCTTATTACTGGGCCGCATGCACACCGAGGAAATCTCGTGATCAAGCCTTTACTTTATGGGCCGTGTATATGAGCAAAATTATCTACTAATGTCTAACTATCAATGGTCACCACAATTTCTAACCCTCTTCTATCCCTATGCCCTTATGCACCAAATGTAGTAGTTCTACTTGATTTAAATAGGCTCACTGTAGACGTATCTTCTTGGTCTTCTATTGTTCCTCTATGGTCTTATTGTAATTTCTTTTCCCAAAATTAAAAATATTACCAGAGTCTGACCGTGGACGTGGTAAATTCTCAGACCTTTTGTCGGAATCGTAGTCGGCATCGTCAGTGAGCCTTGCCAGTCTTAGCGCCACACCACAACTCGTTAAAGAGACAAGTGAAGCCGATCCTTTGACCAATTGTGTGCTAAACAATTGTGGTATCTCTCCTTATGCCCTGGGCCATTCACTAATCCTATATCGTATCACAATTTCTTAATTGCTTATTAAAATTTGATATGATGTGTCGTATTTAGCGGATTTCATGAAAACTCTCCAAACCCTATGCTGC